AGAGTGAGCATTATTGAGCTTGCACCATCTATCCATCTATCACCTGCAAGCAGGTATCAGCGTGATGAATGAACCCGCCTCCCTCGCTTGCTCTCTCCTTCTGACTTTTGTCTCTCAATCCCTCGCATTTGTCCCTTCTGAGGTCCGTCTCTTTCCTCTCTTTTTCCTCCTGTCACCTCTCTCTGTGGTGCTTTATTCAAGTCTTTTAATCCTCTAGTAGACTCACCTGTCTGCTCTGGCATTCTGTAACTGTGTAACACACATTCGCAAATGGCACAGGTGGTATAAAATAAAACTTCTCCCTATCTATTTTCTAAATGAATGTAATGGATCATATTTTTCAAAAAAAAATTCGTAATTTTTAATCATAATGTTGTAACTGGACAACAGCCTTCTCTCTGGTGACGTATGCAAGACTTTTCTAATAATTTAATCTGCTTAAACCCTGCCCCTGCAAACTTGTGCTAATCTATCTCAATTTTTGAGTGCAACTGTGTCCCCGACCTACTTTTTTTCTTTTTTGATAATCTGTTACAGTCGGATTTACTTAACAATATGAAAGAAAAAATCTGGCGCTACAATGTAACAAATGATTTCACGAAGTCGTAAATAAAACAGATTACTGGAGTATGTTTTACAAGAAAGTACAACTTTAGTTTTTCTACTTCAGAATTAACACAAACAATTGAGTGACAAGTGGACACTGAATTTTTTTCAGCCTACTTTAGTTTCATCGCAACATAAAGGAATAGTTCATGCAAAAATGCTAATTTTGTAATCATTTAATTCAACCTCATGTTGTTCCAAACCTGTTTGACTGACTTTCTTTGTGGAACACAAATGTGTCCCTGGACCACAAAACTAGTCTTAAGTCGCTGGGGTATATTTAGCAATAGCCAAAAATACACTGTATGGGTCAAAATTATAGGTTTTTCTTTTATGCCAAAAATCATTAGGATATTAAGTAAAGATCATGTTCCATGAAGATATTTTGTAAATTTCCTACCGTAAATATATCAAAACTTAATTTTTGATTAGTAATATGCATTGCTAAGAACTTAATTTGTACAACTTTAAAGGCGATTTTCTCAATATTGTGATTTTTTTTGCACCCTCAGATTCCAGATTTTCAAATAGTTGTATCTCGGCCAAATATTGTCCTATAACAAACCATACATCAATGGAAAGCTTATTTATTCAGCTTTCAGATGATGTATAAATCTCAATTTTGAAAAATTGACACTCAAGACTGGTTTTGTGGTCCAGGGTCACAAATGGAGATATTTTGATTAATTCCAAGCTGTTCTTTTCCATTTAAAGAAACTTTACTATTGAGCTCCAAAAATGTATTTATTTTCTTTTATTTTATATCATTTTAAAGTGGTCCCAGGGTATCTGAAGTTTTTAAAATCAAATTTAAGACTTTTTAAGACCTGCACAAATAAAACTAATGCTGTATGTCCATCCAGAACAAACCTATATAATCTCAAATTAAATCATTTATCTCAGATTAAACAGGGTGATCGCAAATGTAAAATACTTAAAGGGTTAGTTCACCCAAAATGACAATTCTGTCATTAATTACTCACCCTCATTTCATTCCAAACCCGTAGGACCTTCATTCATCTTCAGAACACCAATTAAGATATTTTTGATGATAGTTTTCTGTCCCTGCATAGACAGCAACGTAACCGACACGTTCAAGGCCCAGAAAAGTAGTAAAAAGAGAAAATAGATAAAATAGTCCATGTGACAACAGTGGTTCAACCTTAATTTTATGAAGCTATGAGAATACTTTTTGTGAGCTAAGAAAACAAAAATAACGACTTTATTCAACAATTTCTTCTCTTCCATTTCAGTCTTTGATGCGTCGTGGTAATCTTGTTAACGCACTTCAACGACTGACACAGAAGAGAAAGTATTATACTTCCCGTCTTTCCTTTCCTCGATTGAATTAAATGCCATACAGCTTATTGTGTGACCAAGATACCAAAAATAAAAAGCAATATACATCTGCATCACATTTAGAAGGTGCGTTTTAACCGTGAACATGCAGTTTAACAATGACAATAGACAACATCATGATTTCTGTTTATCCCTCCCCATATTTAAGACCTATTAAAATGATGATTAAGGCTTGTGTTATACACATAAGATATTTAATACTTTTTATGACTTTAAATTTGATAAAACTGAATTTAAGATAATTTAAAACTTTTAAGGACCCACAGGGACCATGGGTCAATATTGCACACTGTATTGTCTCCTGGAGCCATTCAAATAGCTTTAGTTTTCTAGGCTACTTTCATGGTGCTTTCTTGTCATTTGAGCTTGATGACCCGAATTCCTTTCTCTATATGGAAAAGAGCAGCCAGGACATTCTTCAAAGTATCTTCTCTTGTGTTCTATGCCAGAAAGTCACGAAGGTTTGGGATGACATGATGGTGATTACATTGGCATTTGTAGTAGGTGAACTATTTATTTATTTATTTAGCAAACATGGTCTTTCATCCTTTTTTTTGGGATGCAACATCCATTTTGTAAACCGTCACTGACGATTAAAAATAAATACTCAGTGCGCAATTTTAAAATGAAGTCATGGAGAAAAATAAAGTCAGCGGCGACAACTGTTTCTTGCGTTCCCTCCGCAGATGATGGACAGCTTGCAGGTGGGTTCATGCCTCAGTGCGCTAGCGTGCTTATCTGAATGTCAGCAAGGGTGATTAGTGGAAAGCTATGGAAATCAAAAATGGTAATTAATCTGCCTCACAGACGACGAGGCGCATTAAAATTCGCAGGTCTCTCAGATGAGACACGTCAAGCTTAAATTGTGAGTTGGAGGGTTAAGTTGCCTTTATGTGGAATTATGATAAAATCGTATCACAGAACATGATTACATAAGAGCAAAAACTGTTCAGAAACTTCAGCCGACACAATCAAATGAAATATTGATGTCTATCTGACGCGTTTACATTTTAAGCGACATTTGCTAATTTGCTGATCTATTTTAGCACATCAGCTATACAAGCTTATTGACAATGTGTATGTAAAAATAACTTTTTCTAAGAGCAGAGCTCAAAGCAGAGATTGGAGTCATATGTGCATTTTAGATAAACACTCCACTGCTCTGCTTGTCTTTGGGGAGATGTTCTCTGTAACCTGGCCTGACGCCAGCTCATGGTTTCTGTGATGATGATTCCTCTCAGCGGCACACGGCTGAAGACTGCTCGTCTCTAAGTGCCACCGTTTCACAGCACTGCTCCCAGCAGACTCAAAGTGCTAAAAGCAAACACTAACAGTCCTGCAGAGCTCTGACCCTCCTCCTAACCCTCCTGCTTCCTCCCTTCCCCCTCAGAGCTGGGAGGATGTGAGCTAAAAGTGAGCTGTAAAGAACCTTGAGTTGAATATTAAGGGGGATATATCATGTTTTCTGACTGAGTTCCACTTTTTTTTTTGTTGCCAAAATGTCATTATTTTTTCTTATTAGCAATTTTTTACTCTCAGACTTAAACAACCAGTTTTGTTGCCGTGCCATTAACTCACTCCCCAAAAGCATAAAAAAAAAAGAAAAAAAAAAAGTTGCTAGTCACTGCCAGCATTTTTGATTATTTTCACAAAACTTTCATGGCCCCCAGAATATTTAGTTGTATGAATATCTGAACATGCAATCTGTCAAAAGAAAGAACATAGCTTCTGCTTTAAACAAAACAAAAAAAAAAAAATCTAGCTTCATGCATTTTTTCAACACTTGAATGTGGGTAAATTTTATTAAAAAAGGAACATTCTGAACAACAAAAAAAGAGAAAATGTCATTTTTGTCAAAGACTACGTCCAGATCGGAGTAGACCACTTCCATCAACACCTCCAAGAGCATCCTATACCACTTCCTGGGTTGACATTTCATTCAGTAACATTAAGCAGTTTTGATTTATATGCTGTTTAATGTTGGATGATCACGTTATTTTACATAAGCATTTGCTTACATATGCTATCGTTTGTTTCTGCTACTTCTTTGCCTATGTTTATCCAGAGATTCTGTACTCTTGCAGAAGATGCGTAATAGCACCGTATAACAGTGAAAACATGGAAATCCGGAAAATTCTGTCAATGTTGGGGAAAGTGTTTAGATGACCTGATTGCATTTGAAAGGTGTTATTTTAGTAATATTTAAAAAAAATTTTTTTTTGTATATTTTTATATATAGTTTTTATTTCAATTTAAATAATTTTGTTGTGTGATTTTGTCACTTTTATTCGTTTTTTAAAGGGATAGTTCACCCAAAAATGAAAATTGACACTCCTAATTGAGATTGTAGATAGAGTGTCAATGGTCCATTTGAGAGATAGGTGGTGGTAATACACTTATAAGTCTGAGATCTGCCATAAAGCAAGAAGAAGAAGAAAACGCATCATGCGCCGGCTGTCGAGGACGTGCTCAGGACGCGCTCAGGACAGTTCGGACATTGCGTGAATCAGAGGTAAAAAAAACGATATAAATACTGTTCAGTTTCTTGCACAGACCGATCGTTTTGTGTCTTTACACATCGATGTATCGTCACGAGCCGCAGGGTTTAATTTGGTCTTGTTTGTGTATGTTTTTTTGACTCTCAAAGCTGTGATTCCCATTCACTTCCATTATAAGACTGACAGACTGCAACGGTTTGAGTTAAAAATCTCCGTTTGTGATATACTGAAGAAACAAAGTCACCTACATCTTGGATGCTCTGGGGGTAAGCAGATAAACATCAAATTTTCATTTTTGGGTGAACTATCCCTTTAATGTCTATAGAGTTTTCATTAATTTTTATTTTAGTAAATCAAGTAAAACTAATTTAAAATGAGAAATTAATTAAAAAAAAAAGTTTTTTTTTTTTTATTACAGACAGTTTATTTTCAAAATGTTTTTATGGTTTTAGTTATAGGTAACTATAATAACCCTGATGTGAAATGACCCGACAAAGTCTTCTGCTCCTTTCTGTAACAGTATTCTGTATAGTTTACCTGCAAAAGCATTGTGGGATTTCTCCCAGGCCGTACAGAGGGAACAGGAAGGGAGTGTTGCCGTAGCGTCCCAAGCATCGCAGGAAGTGCTGCGTGGCCTTTAGTCCTTCCTCCGTTAGGGTCTGCTGCGTCACCATAGCGATGGAGTGCAGGACGAAGTCTTGCAGGTTCTCAGTGAGCTTCTTGTTCTTCAGGAACTCTCTGAATGGTTTCTCGGTATAGTCTACAATAAGGACAATTTCAAATGTTTATAGTGTAAAAGGATAATGTGACCTCCCACTCAGCCTGTCACTAATGAATGAAAGGCTCTTTTATTTCCAAAGTAGTTATTATTGCATGTTGAATAACATTGTAATAACATAAAAGCTGCAATTTACCTCATGTCAGTGTGACTTTGAGTCAATACAGCTATAGATTAAAGACAACATGAAACGCCAATCAATTCAGTGGGCAATATCCACCTAATTTTGCAATGCGGAAGCAAGCTATTTTCTGTGAATGTGTGAAACTTCTGATTCATTTACTGGATTAGGTAAATAACTAGATGAATAAAGTGCAGTAAACGGTAAAATTAATTGTGCTACAAAGCAATGAGTTCAATGTCAAGCATAGAACACTGCTTTTGTACAGTTAAAAGAACTAAGCAAATGAGACTGGAAGCCTCGCACATTCAAGTTAGAAATGTCCACATCTGCTCTAATACTAAAAATACTATTGACGCAGATTGAAAAACTAGACAATTTTCTGCATAATCTGCATAACTTTGAATACTGTTTCTATTGTGATTGTGAAAAACATATGATTGGGAGTTGGCTTATTTCAATTGATTGATGATTATATATTTGCATAAAGGTCTTTGATATGCCATCGTAGGCAATCCAAAACATAACACTGGGTAAAAGAAAGTCCATAGAATGAAGAAAACTCTTATCACAACTTAATTATTGCTTGAATTTAAAAAATGTAGATACATTTTTTTTTTTTCAAAAATGATTTTTTTTTAAATTTTGTTTCAATTTATATGTCATTGTTACATCACAATTGTTAATTTTGACCTTTTTTAATTACCAAAAATGTTAGGTCGAAAGGGACTTTCAATGTTTGTTTTTTTTTTCAGTAGTTTTCTTAATTTTTCTGAAAATGTATATGTATATTATCTATATTTATTCATTCAAATTTGTTTGACATTGTGATGAAAATTAAGAGGGAAATAATGTAGGGTGGGGCTTGATTTAATGCACTGCCATTTGACTGGACTGTGGATGTTTGGCTGATATTATTGGTTAGGATGATATTATTGGTTAATAATAATATTCTTGATATTATTGGTTAATAATAATATTTCTTAAAAATGTTAGTTTTTCACTAACCACGCATAAATGTTGTTTTCTCAAAAACACAAATATGTACATTCATGCTGAATACATATTATTGTAGCCCAGTTTGTGCTGGTTGCAGTGTAATCAGACTTTAGCCATTAATATGTTTTTAAGATACTGAAAAAAACACAAATGTCAGAACATGTCAAAACTTCTCCAGGGCCCCAAACCCCCCTCAGACCCCAGAGGATTAATTTTTTTTAACTTTGAAATATGTTTTTCTTTAAAATAACATGCACTGATGAATTGTGCTCAATAAGACAAACAACATTCATTAACAAAGTGAAAAAAGTTCGATTTTGATTTCATGTTGACTTTAAGAACAAAATCCTAGATTTCTAATCTGACCTGAAATCTACAGTTAATGTCTGTGGTAGATCTCTGATGTTTCATGTGAATCCGAGAGCTGCAGGGAAACAAACACAAGGGGTCATACCCTGGTACTCCTCTGGGTGCTGCTCAAAGTCCAGACAGAAGGTAAGAAACTTCATCAGCATGCGTTTCTCCACCACAGTCAGCTGCTTACTGGCAAACACATCTGCCCGTGAACACGGGACCTTCAGGGGAGGAAGAAACAGGACAGAGCAGGTTAAAGTAGTGACATGTATGTGCATATATTAGTGCATACACAAATACACATTACACACACTCAGTACAGAGGAGGATGTAACAATTGTGAGAAAACGGCTTACCTTTAGCCCTGAATTACTCGCATAGATGGATTTTGCATTACAATGCTGCATTTAATATTTTTAGTGAAATGAGAAACACCTTTTGCGTCAATGTTCTTATCAGGTACATTAGTAAATAGAAATGGATAAATCAAGCAGCAAATCAATTTAATCGTTTTATCTTAGCTGAACTGCTCTAATAATTTGAATCAGGATGCTTCATATTAGACCTAAAATATAATGCAGTCATGAGGAAAAGATGAAGTACACAGAATTTTGGAATGGGAAGGAAAAATAAATAAAATAAAATAAAAAATCATTGCAACCCTACATAGAACAAGCGGTTTGGAAAAATGGTTGCATTATTTATTTATTTTTTTGCTAAAATATCCGTTTTTGTTAAATATCAATTTTCCTTTTGATCATTTTTACATTTATTTGATTCTGTTAATAGGATTTATTGAAAAAGATCAGCTCCATACCTGTTCCACTTTTCCATTTCTGCAGGTGAGGATACGTCCGATGTTCTTGAACTCTGCGTAACGGCTCACATTAGATTTGATGAGCAGATCCACCAGTGCACCACGTGAATACATCAACTTTGAAGAGGGTCAAAGAGAACACTATATATTTCATTTCATTGCCATCTAAGTTCATTTAAAGCTAGATGCCAGACTGTGATCACTACATGATGAAGAAAGACTTAGAAAGTCATTTTAATTGTTTAAAGCTAGGGATGCCATGGTGAGGAAATTTTCCCACTGATTAATAAACTTGTGACAACATCAATATTACCAATTACACCACACATTTTACAAGATAAGATATTTTTCCCTTCCTCTGAGCAAAACAAATGCTAGAAAATAGTGGATTCATTATTATTCTTAAAAACACAACAACAATAAAACAGTACATGGTAAACCCTATTGCTCACAATAATCAATTGGTTTGAGTAGGGCAAACCTACATTTTAGTATTAATTTAAACAAATTAACTTTTATGAGTATTTAGAACTTTCTTTTTCTTCATTAAACTGACACATTTCAAGTACTCTGAAGAGTTTTGTTTTGAATTGAATAAAATTGTTTCTTTTAATTTAGAGAAACTCTAATTTAGTGTTACATTTATTAAAATCAAGTGTTATTGTGCAAGATTAATGTCAAGTGAGTGATTTAGTAGTTTGATGTTTTGCTATGCTAATTTCGAGCTTAGTTTAGTCTATATTGTCTAAATGATCTATATTGCCTTACTCATTTAGCAATTGCTATGCTAATCAAATAATTGTGTTACCATTTAGCATGTTAGCATTTACTGTATTAACTAGTTATAGCTAGATAAGTTTCCACTACTAAAAATAATTAAGTTGAGATTACATGATCATTTTATGTGTTTTAGAATTTTAGGAATTCTTTTCAGTTGATTTTCATTAAATAAAGCATTTCTTGGTTTACTATTATTGTCTTTTTATTATCTAATATTTTGAGCATCATATATATTTAAATAATACAAACCTTGGAGACAAGGTCGATGTTGAATCTGCGTCCCTCTTTTACCAACTTTTGATATGTTATCTTCTTTTCCACATCTACAGGTGGATCTTCAGGGCTGCTGATCGGCTGCGAATCTTTCTCTTCCTGTGATTGGCTGGGTTCTGAAATGTCAGATGTATGCTGCTCCTCCTTAGGCTCAGAGACTTTGTGCTCCTCGTTCTGCGTCTTAGCATCGGATGCTGTGGTGTCATCACCTGTAACTGTGTCTTGAGCCTCTGTAGAGTCCCCGGTGGTCTCTTCTGATACAGTCTCAGCATTCACGGGCTGACAGCTTGTTAACGGGGCCTTCGTTTCCTCTTCTTTCTCTTCTTCCTCACTATAAAGGACAAATAATAAATACCTTTTGACGCTCTTTAATGTTGTGTGACAGATCGCTTTAGCCACATAGGTTCAAGCAGCACGTGAACTGATCATATCTTCCTCTTTACTACTATTTACAGCACCAAATAAGCATAAATGAACATGAGAAGGTATGTTGAAAGAAACAGAACAATTTACTGAAATGTACTGTGTCTCATGTAATCTCTCAATCAATGTTTCAACTGCAGAAAAAGTCAATAAAATAGCTTGGAAAAATCATGGAAAGAGAGTCAATGTCCTTAGCTGGATTTGCTAAATTAATGCACTATGCACTATATGTTCATAATAACATGTTATTCAGTATTTAATGTATGTTTGAATAATGTCATGACAAGTTTTTTATTAAAGCCACAAATTAAATGGTTAAATTTCTTATAGGAACACTCCACTATTTTTTGAAAATAGGCTCATTTTCCAACTCCCCTCGAGTTAAACAGTTGAGTTTTACCGTTTTCGAATCCATTCAGCCGATAGATCATAGATCATTGAATCTGATTAGACCGTTAGCATCTTCAACTCTAGGGGAGTTGGAAAATTAGCCTATTTTCAAAAATAGTGGAGTGTTCCTTTAAAAATAGCTGGAGTAGAAAGATAATTATATAAGTAAAATTTTATTTTTTATAAAAACCGCAGTATGTGCAATTTAAATGTTTGTATACAAATCAGTTCTTTTAATTTGTTAAGGTTCACCCTCATTCATTATTATTATTATTTTTTAGTTATCAAAATATAATATACAAAATACAATTCACAATTGTTAGATAAAAAAAAATTATACCTGTAAAATTGTTTGGATTTTATGAGGAATTGCATAGAAGTGCAACATTGTGTAAAGTTTATTATTATTATTTATTAACTAATTACTGTATTTATTATGTATTATTAATTATCTGTCTTTTTAGAGCTTTTTACTTTAAAATAGAAGTAACATTTAAATTATCCTAGTAGTCAATTCAGTTATTTATGCAGCATGTTTATTATTCTGACATATCGCACAATACCCTAACATTATATTTTAAAATTTAGTAAAACGCAAAACAAATGTGCATTCAAGAGACAAAACACATAAGATGTCTTCATAAATTTGTTAAGGACTAATTTTAGACTGTGTTAGTTGTAAGTAAAATGAATGCCAACCTGGCATAACAGAAAACTTCTAAGTTGGAAATAGAGGAATCCACAGAGCTGAGAGGCACCACATCCTCTCCCTCATCAATCAAGCTCCTCCATACTTGCTCCGACTCTGTGATCTGTACCTCCTGCTGATTCTGAGAACACACATTATAAACCAAAATCAAGCGTTGACTACAAAACCACAAGGTGACAGCTTAAAACCGCTAAAATGTAGTATCAGTTTTAAAAAACTTTATTCAGTTACCTATAAACTTCACATAAGTTCACATAAACTTGTATCTGAGTGAAAATGATAAAATAATGACCTTATATTCCTCGATCCATGACAGCAGGGCATTGAATGTGAAGCTTGCCCAGTTTCCAGCATAATAGTTCCTCCTGTAAAATAAAATTTAAAAAAGAATAATTTATTCAGCATCATGCAAGTGTTTGTTGTTCTTCTTTTGTCACTTTGGATAAAAGCGTCTGCTAAATGCATAAACATAAATGTTTACGTATATCTAATTTCATAGACACTGAGCATCCAACTACCTGTCCAAATGCAAAACGTTCTGTCCGACTCTGGAGCAGGCCGCCGCAATGACAGACTCGGTGAGGCCTGGGAAATGAACACAGACAGAAAGCATTGTCACCGACCACCATTGCGATCTCTCTCTGAATTGAAAGTTTCACTCAATTTGCGAAATGCATACCATTTCATGCACACATCGCTGAAATGGCAAAGCAGTCCAACTGCTTTCACAATTACACTGATGCAAAAAGCATTAAGGCTTGCTGGAGGCTTATTCACTTTAACTGCTGTGGATACATCCAGTTAGAAACAGCAACTCAGCATAAGGACAATGACACAGCTAACAATATTGTGTTTCATTCAATCTTTCATCTCCCATTTCTAATAAAGCAAGTCACTAGATTTTAGCATTCGCTCTGCCACAAATATGTTGCCAGTGAACCACAATAGTGCTTCAGACAACTGAAATGGTGTGCGGTGGTCATTTGTACAGGGACACAAACGTGACACTCAAAAATAATTTCAGAAAGAAAAAAAAAAAACAATTATGAAATGAATAATTAAACTGATAAATTGGTAAATTAATTAAAAAATTGATTAATCAATGGATAAATGAATTAAATAATTCGTTGGGTGTTGATCAACAATGATCACTTAAAAAACTTAATTAAAATTAACATTACCAATTGCTATAAATAATGATATGTTAATGAAAATTATTTTAATTTCTGATTTAAAAGTTTTAAATTTCATAATTATTTGTATATTAATATGATAAATTGTATTTTCAATTTGTTTATTAATTAATTTGTTATTTGTTTATCTTTATATTTGATTATTTAAGATGATCAAATTCTATTTATTTATCCACATTTATCCAAAAATCAGTGGTTGATTTGATCAATTTTTCAATTAATTGATTGGTTTCTCAGCAGGTTTATTATTAACTAAAACTAACACTATTAAAACATTTATAAGGCTGAAATAAAATAAATACATTATAAATAAAAAAGAAACAAAGTAAAAATGTGAAATGTTGCCTTGTTGAAAAAAGTTGAAGCACTAAACGTACTTAACAGAAATAAAAAATTGAAATTAAAAAAAAAATCATGAAAATGGCAAATGCACAAATTACTCAAATTAAACTAAACACTACAATAACATTTCTCAGTTCATTTATTGATTTCTTAATTGATTTATCAATTTCTCATCTGGACCCCAATACATCTGGAGCATTCACATAGAAACCACAAAAAAACGCCATGAAACAGAAGAATATATAGTAACTACTATATAAGAAGCAAGTGGCATATGACTGTTTTTGCACAGTTTATGAAAGTGCAAGCAGCATGAATTTGGCAATGCTGATGCTGCACAGCATTTGGACAGTCATTTACACGAGGTAAACATTTCCCGGATAACTCGCTGACTATTCAAATTAAGTGCTCGTACAAGCTCTAGCTCACAAGCCAAAGTACCAATAGATCCAATTGGTATATTTACTAGCGTACATACTGCTTGAGCTGAGGTTTACATACTTCGCAAAGCCGCACTAAAAAGGCAGACGGAACGCGTGGGGTCCCTGAGAGCAAGATTGAGCTGCACCGGAGCTGAAAACAACTCCATTAAGCCGCTGAAGCGTCCCTGTCCCTCCATCTTTCTTCTTCTTCATCTGGCCTTGCACAGCCCCATCTCACGCACACAATGGAAAAGTGATTTATTCCGAGCAGGACCGGCGTATCTTTCCTAGCACTGGCTATTTCACTGATGGAGAATCCTGGGATTCTAGACACCCACATGCTCTCCTACAATGTGACGAAAAACCTTTGTCCAAATATAATGGCAGGACATAGAATTTCACCCTGTTGACTTTCATAATTCCTGATTATATTGTGCTGATTTATCATTGCACATTATTGTAAAATAAACAAATAGTTTCTTTGTAATCTTTTATAAAAAAAATCACTCTGTCGAACTTTCAACCCCTCCTGTTCTCTATATTCCTGTTTTTATAATGTCAATTTTTCACATTCCAATTCCTCATTAATAAAATCTGGTTCCACAATGTTTGTAACAGGATTGTGAAATCGTTCAAATTTAATGGCATATCATCCAGATTCAATGGCAATTCACTCTCTTGACTTTAACAATGCATGTTCCTGAATTTATTGTGCCGATTCAATGTAAAAAATGTAAAAACCTCCCATTTCTTACAATCCAATAAATTCCTGATGGATAAAATCTAGTCCCGCAATCCTGTTCCGATGAAATACATCAAATTAGAGCTTGAAATGTTTACTATGGAATAACTAATATTATACTACGGGGGCCGTTGACTGCTTGAATCTGATTGGCTGACTATTCCTTAACACCACATTATGTGTGCATTATTTTCTAATAATTCAACGGCCTGTCGTCAATTATTCCTTACATAATGCATCCTTATGTGCTTTACAGTGACATCATTTTATAAAATCACCTGAACTGAAGAAGCCTAATTATATTTATGGAAAAGTATTACATTAATTCACTTGGCCTGTTTAAAACAGATGCATCTCAATTGCGCCCCTACCAGAGCAGCAACGGCGCGAGGAGCCTCAATATATCTGTCCAGATAATACTGAAGATGTTTTTAAAAAGTGTAAATAACCTCTGGCCGCCATTTTTAATGCCATTTATCCTATCCGGTATTGATTTTTCCACATCATGTTTGCTAAAGACAAACATTACCTGCCATAAAGTTCTGATGCTACATAGACATGCTGGGCGATAAATAATAGATTTGAGCTGGCAGGACTTTGATGACCGGGCAAAGCCCGAAATGCTTTCAGCAGGAATTGTATGAAATCATAAATCACTCTTCATTTTAGAGAACATTCCAAATGGATTCTATCTCTGCACCTTGAAAGTCATTTTTCGGTTATTTATAGTCGAGGCTGAGGGAGCGAGGGAGGGACTGTGTGAGAGAGAGAGTAAGAGAGAAAGGGAGAGGGCAGGTCACTTCTCTTACACTCCACCCATTTGTGTCACCCATCCCCTCTATCTATCTCTCTCACACATATACACCATGCTGTTGTATATTTTCCTTCACATCTGTGGGAAGTGTAAAGGAAGAGTTCAACCATAAATGAAAATTCGTTTACTGATCATTTACTCAGCCTCCTCGTTCTGAACCTCTGTGACTTTCTTCTGCCAGAAAAACACAAAGGGAGAAACTCAGAGCTGCTATTCCTTTTAATAAATAAAGGAATAGCACAACAAAAGTGGTCCATACAGCATTTGCTCTATATTCCAAGTCTACTAAAGTCATATGATTCTCTGTGCGAGGAATAGTTCAATTTAAGATTGATCGCTCCCCATAGCTCTCAAATCTCATTCGTATTTCAGCATATTCAAACTCGCTACAACTTGACTGGTTGCAAGACCCACAGCAAACCAAAAGTGTTTGGCATCACTGATGCATCTTGACTGTAAGGCAGTGTAATTTTTCAGATTTTATCCAATTAATTTGAATGTCACGTTTTGGATGGTTAATAGGGATGTAATGATATCAAAATCTCACTGTGATGAGAGGGGCGGGGCCAAGAGCCGTGGGAACGGAGCGAGGCCGGTGGAGTACATGCTAATGCGCGACACCTGCACCACTGTGTTGGAGGAGAGAGGACCAGGCCTGTGGCCAAGGTGTCGTGCATTAGCATGTACTCCACCGGCCTCGCTCCGTTCCCACGGCTCTCGGCCCCCCGCCCCTCTCGTCACACTCATGATAAGATATTATTGCAATGTCAAGTCCACGATACGATATTTATTGCGATATACATATATATATATAAAAAGAAAAAGAAAAACAAAGCATTGGGAAAAAAATTAAAAAATGTTACATTTTAAAGTTCAATTATTCTATCTAATGCACTTTGAGAGTTCAAACTAAGAAAACTTAAATCAGAAAAAAGTCAGTGAATTGACTTGTACCTGAACTTTAAAGGGGACTCAACCCTCTTTTTTATTTGTGATATACTGTCTCAGTCTAAATTACATTTACACTGGTGTTTTAGAAGCCAAACACATTAGAATAGAATAATAATAACAACAATGACTAGTAGCCATATATTGTAAAACAATTGCACTGTAAAATAAATGAAAATGAATACTTCATAGCAGGCATGTGCACACATAGACATCAAAGGGGGCTTGAGCACCTGCCCCTTTTCTTCCTCGAGAGAAAGTGCCCTTTTTTCATGGGGATTTTTTGTAATTTTTTTTATAAATTAATATGTATTATGTGTGCGTTTCTGTTTGCGCACAGCTTTCCCTGTCAAACAAATAAAAAAATCAAAATATCAGGTCGGGTCGGGAAATGTTGAGACTGTCGTGTTCCGATGCCTTTCTCCCCTCCGCGTCTCCGCGCAGGCGCACAGCCAGGGCCGTCGCTAGTGGGGTGAAAGGTGGTGACGATTATAGGGGCCCACGGCGATCTCAACTGACTGGCTGAGGCCAGCCTAAAAAGACGCTCAGGACAGTTGACGGGCTACTGCTGCCCATCATCACGAAAGCTTATCAGTTGCATGTGTTTTTAAGCCTTGCCAATTTAAACATTCAAAAGAGTTTAAAGCATTCAAACACAAGACGCGGAAAAACTAAACTGACTACACTGTAAAAAAAAAAACGTAAAATGTACGGTAAAACATGCAAACAGAAAAAGATGCGAAAGAGCCCAATTCAGCACCCGCGCGCGGTGTTCTGTGCGCACAGGGCGCACGCAGAGAGACGATTCTCAAAGCACTTGAACACCGAAATTTGCCTCTTCTTGCTCTTGTACCGACAAATACATAAAAAAATTAAGTCAAAATACCTGTCTTGGAGAGTATCCTCGAAAAAAAACTGTCGTTATGTCTTGAGTGAAAGTAAACGGTGGAGAAAGAAATCGGATGTGTATCATTATAATGAATGCATTGCCTCTTAAAGTGACCGCACCTAATTTACTAGCTGCTGTAATGTTAATCCAAGAAAATGAAAGAAAGAAAATCACTCACTGCTCTTGACTGAATTACTTTGTAGTTTTAACAAGAATGAATCCACAGTCAAAAAGT